TATGTATATATATATATATATATATATATATATATATATATATATATATATATATATGTATTATATACAAATAAATGGAACATTTTCAAGTAGACAAATGACACTAGACTCCCTCTTTTGTAGTCTCTCGATTCGAGCCAGTTGTCGTTAATAAATCTAAGTGAGACAATGAGCAGCAGCAGCAGCAGCAGCAGAATAACAGGAACAGCACGATGTTTTGCGACATACATACACTTATACTCAGCTCAATCTATAATGTACATTTATCCTAAAAGCCTTGTTATTTTCAATTTAATTAAAAATCTGGTACCTACTATAGAGATATGTACTGTTTATATACTGTTTATATTGTCTAGGATACTTAAATAAAATAATATTAACATGATTATTAAACTTTTTATCGAATATTTATAGATTTAAATAATTAATTATTTTTATTCAAACAGAATAATTAGCAAAATTATCGTCGAAATAATGAGATAAGTGCAATAAGTCCTAGTATCATTGACCCACAACAAACTACTGCCAGCGTATCACGATTATAATTTAAACATGATTCTTTATCTAAGCATCGCCTGTAACAAATATTTAAAATACATGTCTGTTGTTATAAAAAAATAAAATTCAACAAAAAGATAATTAAAAAATTTTTACCATTTTTCTATAAAAACTACTAATAATCCCGTTATTATTTTATCCAAAAAGGTTACAATAGAATAAATAAGAGCACTATTTTCTGTTTTAATTCCAATAAAATCTGCTGTAATACTTAATGCAGTAACCATTGTTATAGAACTTGCAATTCCAATAAAAATAGCTATTAAATATATTATTATTTCATAATTTCCACCAAATTTTGTAATAGCTGCTCCAATTATTCCAATAAGTGAACCCAGTAAATAACAAATCTAAAAAAAAAAAAAATATTATTTAAATATAAATACAAATAAATCTTTATAATAATAGAAATAATTATACACTAAATCACCTTAGTACCACATGATTGGTTTATATATTTTAGCGTCAATGCTGATATAAAGGATGCAATGTATGATACTAAAGGTACAGTTGCTAATGCTTGTTTACCACCAACATCTGTTTCTTCAATATAAAGTGGCAAATAAACTGTCGCTAAAGTGATAAATAAACGACTAGCAACGTACAATAAAGCCACTCGTATTAAAACTTTTACACCAATACTACTTTTCGTTGTAGTTGTTGCTGTTGCTGTTGTTGTTGTTGTTGTTGTTTTTGTTATCGATATAGTTGATGAATTGTTATCATACAAATCGTTTAGTTTAGTAATGTTTTTTGATAATTTTTTATCATTTATTTTCGATGATAAATCAGTAGTGGTTGGAGAATCAATAACATTATTCCGTTGATTATGTTCCAATAAATGTGACTTTAACGATACATGGAATAGTATTGTTGCTGTAACACCGCACGTTGTTACAATTAGTACGATATTCTAGAGAAAAAGAGAAGAAAAAGAAAATAAATTTAATTATAATAATTTGTTTTTTTTTTTTTTTTTTTTTTTTTTTTTTTTTTTTTTTTTTATATATATATATAATACAGATGATTTTACTCGAAATTTAATGTCGTCTTGGTCACTTAATTTAATCATTGAATTTTCATTGGTAGGTAAAACAATCCAGGTGATTATAAAAAGGAAAACAGCCGCAGTTACTTGTGCTGAATAACTGAATTATAGGATAAAGTATTTAAATTATTGTATTATTTTTAAAAAATATTGACGCAATGTAAAATTATATAATATTATAAAATAAATATTAATTTACCGAATAGCTGTTAATTCTGCTCGTACTAATGGTAAATTAGTCAACATAGGTATCATTGATAAATGAGAAATTTGAACTGCTGCCCACCCAGTTTGAAAAATAATAATACTAACAATGTAAACAATCATTGAAATATAATTATTTTTAATATTTTGTAAAAAATTTCCAAAAATAACTGGAAACGACAATGCAACAAGGACTGATCCAATAATGTGCCAAAATTTTTTTTTATTATATTTATCTACAAGTATTCCAAAAATTGGTGTCATTAATGCATCAACCAGTTGACCTAGAACATGAGAAAAAAATAAAAATAAATAATAATAATAGTGCATGATAAAACTTTAGTAATTATATTATTTTATTATTTACCTAATAACAATAGAGCACCAGCAGTTAATGGCTCTAACTTGGTTATTCTTTGTAAATATAATAGTGTATATGAAAACCACATTGCTGCTGCAAGATCATTAAAGACATGTCCTAATGAATATGACAATTTTGTAAAAAGTGATATTTTTCCGGTAATCAATAGAGGGGAACTTTCTTCACTGACAATATTCTCCATTGATGTTAATATTATCATAGATTTCATTGTTTTTAATAAATATTTTTTTACCGATTTTAATTTTGTTTTAACTTTTATTACTTTAAATAATTTTCTTGTAATAAAAAACATTAAAAAATAATAATATTTATATCAGAACTTACAGTCTCATGGATTTATATAAACATACAAATATGTAACAGGGCACATACTATAAAATACACTCAACTGAAATCTTAATAAATTAAAATTATTATTTATTATATTAATATTCAAGTATTTAATAAAAATATATCAATATATATTACTGCTGCGATCATCACTGTTTTAATAACTTTAAAAACAAAATTTGTTTGCATCCTATTATTATTATTCTCCTATGTTACATCAACAATAGTAATGATATTAATAATAATAATAATAGAAAATAAAAGAAAAAAAAATTAAACTACTTGATCGTAAATCGCAATAAATTGTCGTCTGTTATCGATGCTGATGCAATGTCTACTGATATACAATATAATACTAAAGAGTGTTCATACTCTTAGAGATTTCTGCTCGGTGTAGTGCGTTGTAATCTGAAACCATCTCACCGTCGTTGAATATACTACAGTTACCATATAATAAATACAATAAAAAGAATTCCGAGTAACCACCATAGTCCTTAGTAAAGAATCGATATCTTGCTCTGTACTTGTATGGTCTCTTGTATTATTATCATTGTCGATTCAAGTTCATTAACCTTCTTCTCTAACATATATCACATACATTATTATTATGATTATTATTATTACACCATATAACATCAAAAAGTATGCTATAAAAATCCTTTTTATAAACATTTTTTTTTTTTGTGAGAAAATTAATTTTCTAAACTATGGATTGCATTTAATAAATAATAGTTAGTATATTCGATATCACATGTTATTTTAATAAAAGTAAAGATATATGAAAATATTTAACATTAAAATCATTTAAATAAAGCTTCTTTTTATACCAATGCATGGAAGAAAAAAAAATATAATATATATTTTATTAATAAAAATTTAAACGTTAATAGACATACAAAAATAACTATAATTTAATAATTATTCGTATAATAATTATATTAAAAGTGTCGCGATGAAAATTCTGTTCCTTCAAATTGTCGTAAATGAATCTATGTTAAAGGATAATAATAATAATAATATCAAAAAGTCATACGAATAAAGTGTCAAAAAATAACAATTGATAAAATAAATACCTGTAAATGTAAATTAACTTCAGCTGAGCGACTCAAGTATGGAAAATTACCACCATTTTTTAAATGTGCTAATTTAGCATTCGGATAGCATTTATACATTTCTTCTCTAACAACAGGTGACAGTGCATAATCATCGAAAACATCAATTAATGTTACAGGTAAATCACCCATTTTATGTGGTTGAACATAGGAATTAACACAATTTATTGTCAATCGTGATGCTAATTCTGATTGACTTAAACTCTCTAACTAAAATAAACATGTAAACACACTTATTAATATCTATATACATATAATATTTAAAAATCATAGTTATTATTATTATTATTATTATTATTATACTTACTCGCTCAACCATAAAGTCAATAGCTTCAATCATTTCATCATCGATCGATACATTTTCTGTTGAATAATTTCCCATAACCATTTTTTTCAAAATTAAAGATGGCAAAATCCAAAATCTAATAAATATAAAAATATTTATTTAAAAAATTAGTATGTGTTGATGAAAGAAAATGAAAGTAAAAAAAAAAAAAACAAATAACTTGCAATGAAGCTGAATCGTGATAGTTGAATATTGACGTATCAATAAATGTATTACACAAAATCAAGGAAGCCACTCTTGGACAATGAGAATTTATTTCGGCAAATTTTTGTGCTAAAAATCCACCTATTTTTTTTTTTTTAATTTTAAATATAAATAATCCTATATTTAGATATATAAAATAGACAATTATTAATAAATTAATAAATTAAAAACATACCCAAAGAGGCACCAAAAATATGAACTTTGTTCAATTCTAAATAATCTAATAGTTTTTTAAATCCACAGCACCAATCATTAATACTCCAGTACACTGGAGATTCAGCCTAATTAAATATATTATAATTTTAATTAATTAATAATAGTAAAATTTATTTGATTAAGTTTATTTACCGATATTACACGATAACCCTTTGCTGATAAACTTAAAATTTGTTTAAAAAAAATATCTGCCGTTCCGCTGACAGGTGGTAAACATATTAGTGGTGATTTAATATTTTTAGGACCTGAATCGTATATTCTCCAACCCTAAAATAATATAATTAATATAATTATATAATAAAATAAATAACTAGATGAAAAATTAAAAATTATTAATTATTTTTACCTTTATTCCATCACTGTCAACAATTATTTTTTTTAATGGTATAGAACTCCGAAAACTTTCATATTCATTATTATACGACATAATACTCTGTTTTTATATTTTTACGACAAATATACTTAATAAAGATCAATAAATTTTTTATTACTTTTTAGTTTTATTAAAATAATAATATATTATTTAAAAAAATGATACTAACAAGAAATATAATGGTTGTTCGGATTAAACAAGTGTCAAAGACGAAGAAAACAGAAAATATATAAACTACATTAATTAAATGATAACAATAATAAGTTATCTTAGAGTGCATGCGTAATATACATATATTGCATATCGCTACTTGGACATTCTAACATATACGTATAGTACTACTATACAGCGAGAACTAATAATAAATACTTGACATAGTGTAAGTAAGAATTTTACAATACCAACTGAAAATAAGAAAATAAAAACCCGGACACCGAATATACCGACATCGACTTGCTCAGTTGTTGGAATGTTAAGTTTGTTACATTGTTGATCGTTAGTCTTGGCATATTTTAAAATTACTATATTTTCAATTGTTGCTACCCCCGTTAATATAAACACTATTTTTGAATTGAAATATAAAAAGCAAAAAGTTTAACTTTTATAAATAGATGGCGCTGTAAAACATTAAATTTAACGATAAATTTAAAATATTATTGTTTAATATTTTTAAGATAAGTATTTTGGATAATTTTTAACAACCGTTGTTTTAGTTATTAATATTTTTATTTTATTGTTAATATCAGTCTTATAAAATAAACTGTTGTTATATTAACATTATTTAATTTTTAATAGAATAGAAACTGATATAGATATATAACATTAGTGTGTATGAAAAGTAAACTATTGTACGTATATAATATATATATATACATCAGTAAAAATTATTATGGTTGATAAGCCAAGAGGAACGACGTAACTCCATTATTATATTATTTTCGTAATATTTTATACCTAAAAATGGCAATAAATCATATAAATTAATATATCTCTTTAGTGATTATTGATTGTAATTAGAATTACCAAATAAATAAAAAAATAATTGTGCAGAGTCGAGATTATTATATTTATTATATATAAAAATGTTAAATTTTTTACATTTAAACTGTATTGTCTACTAATATGGAGAATAAAAAGAGTATTAGAGGGGATGAAAGGAACCAGAACTACCTACTATATATTACAATATGTATAAATGTATAAACCCGGAGAATTTTTCATTCTACATATATATACATGTACATAATATTCCAGACTTGTAAGTATGGTGGTGAAGGTAGTAACAGTGTTAGTGAATTTTGTATACTTACACTAACGAGTAGTTTTACGAGTAAATATACTGAGAAAAGTGGTGTGGATAGGATGTATTATAGGACTTTGAAGTAAGTGAGTGAGGGTCGTGTACTGTTCAGTTCCGTTCAGCTTTTGCTCTATATCACGTGTTTTAACTTGTCATTATCAAAAATTTTTTGTATATAACAACAATAACTATATTTAAAAATAAAAAAATTTAAAAAAAATAAAAAGTGATTTCAACAGTATTATCTATATAAATATAATAAATAAAAAAATCAAGTTTTGAAAACGTTTTTATTTTATCCACATGTTATTATTTTGTACTTGACACTAATTTCCTGCTGTTTACAATAATAAACGGCAATTAGTATGAACAAATATATTATATATAATTATTTTATAAGGACATTTATTTTGGGATTTATTTTAACATCATTTCTACTGATTACTCAAATACAAGGTTTGATTCATTTTTATTATTTTTTCATTATTTATTTATTTATTTTTATATACGAATGAATTTAATAAATATGTTATATATACTACTGGTGTATCGTTTTGCTATTTGTAATGCAGTTAGCTCTCTCGTGATGTCATGATTATTCTCAGAATGGACCTCAGTGCTATTTTCGGGTGATTCTAAGCCACCAGAGTAATACAAAGCCCGATGATATTATAATGAATATTATTCCACTACAGTAAATAGTACAGATAGTTATGTTACATTACAATTTTCTTTGGTTTTTTTCTAAACATTTATAAATTATATAATATTAATACTTGTAAAATTTTATTTGATTCGACCTATTTTCGTTTTATTTATATAAAATATACATAAAAAAAAAAAAAATTAATAAAAAGCGATATAATGTTACTTAATAACAATTGTTTATTTTCACGGACGTATAAAAATTGTCGTGTGTAATGTCTAATATATAGAGTATGTCATCGCACCAATTTGACCATAATGCGAGTATTTAATGACCATCAACCACAATAATAAACCCTAATGGATCCTCACACTTGATCTCATATTACGTCCCTAAGATCATACCATTAATAATGTTTAATTTATTAATAGGATTAAATAAATAATTAATTTTTTTTCTTGTTGTTTATACTATATTTAAAATTTAAAATAATTACTATTACGACTCCAAAAAAGTTATTATTTATGCTAGTGTTATTTGATATCTTTTATAATGAAGCTTACTCATCGTTCGCTTGGAGTAGTTATTTTTTTTTTAAATCTGATGGCACGTGTTCTTTTTTTCAATAATTTTAATTAAAAACTCCAAAACAGCTTTCTTAATAATTATATTAAATATAATATTATTTTACATACTAGGATTTAATATCATTTATCATCAATTTCCTGTTATACTTATATTACGCATAAATTAAAAATATTATGTATATGTGGTTTTTATTAATTTATATATATATATATATATATATATATATATATATATATATATATATATTACATATAAAAAGTGTGTTTGTTTGACATTTAATCAATTCACATTGGAAGTTTAATTATCCTATTAATCAATTAGATTGTGTGTCCAGAGAAATAGGCCAATCAATATTCGTGCCGTTTTAGTTTTATTGTTTTTTTTTTTATTTCGTTATTTAATTAGAATTACACCACCAATTGAAGAATAAAAATGATGATTTTTATTTTCTTTCTCGAGACTGAATAAAAATTTGTCGAACTGTACTCAACTTTTTGATAAATCATTAATTAAGCATAATAATAACTCGGTATGATCGTACGATTCAAATTACATAGTTTTTCTTTAATTTTACTAATAAAAATTTTATAGTTCATTATCAAGTACTACTTTTTATGAATATTTTTAAATATTTATCGAATAATTTATTAATAAATAAATAAAATAGTGATGCTTGGACTGTTGAATCAGAGAATGACGTTACTTGTAGCAATGCCACCATATGGCGTTTATCCCGGTTTTTGCGGTTTCCGGAGAACCTTCAAACTGTGTATTAGGTACTGATGCTTATTTTTTTATGTCCTCCAACGCCAGCAGAATAATTCCCATACTTATATATTTTTTAAATTTCAAGTATCAAAAAAATTATTATATTTAAATAATAATTATATATAATATTTTTGATATATATTGAAAAATATATATTTGAAAAAGTTGGAAAAGAGAGTTTCACCCGTATTTAGACGCACTCAGTCGTGTTAAACCATGTTTAGTTGTATTATGTACAGCCGTACGGCGGAATGGTAAGGCGTCGCTCTAGTGAACAGAAAACTAAACCCGTGTACCTCAATCATATGCTAACCGTCTTATTTCACAATTTTATCCAAGCTTATTTATAAATATTTTTATCTATATATATATATATATATATATATATATATATATATATATATATATATATAACTTAATAATTATCCGCTCCTTTTAAAATCTTTAAAATCAATTACTTGATAAAAATAAATCATTTAAATAAAGAGTAAAAAAGAAAAAAATTGAAAATAATAATAATAATAATAATGACAGTAACAAAAACAGCAGCAGCTTCATATATAGTAAGTCGTGCATATCATTGTTATATATTTATATGTATACATTATTATATTTACGGCTACGGCACGTGCGATTATCGTCTCCGGAACCGGAAATACAGTTGGATGCTCTTCCACCTGGGTTTCCATAAGTTTTACTACAGCAGGGGGCATATACTGCACATACTTCCACAGTGACCGGCAGTAACCGGTCACTCTCCTGTCTACCTATATAATATTAAATATTATAAATATATATAGTACAAGACTGATTAATTTTTTTGATTCCCGTCAATTTAAATAAAATTAATTATATAATGTATAAAGGTACTAATTAAATTTAAAAATAAATTGAAATAACAATTATTGATTTTAATTATAAAATTTTTATTTTCTCGGGATAAAATTTAAAAACCGCTGTCAAGTGAATTTACTTGTTTCATTATAAAAGCTGAACGCGTGGCGAGAAAGGAACGTGTTCGCATGACTCGCGATCAACTTTACGACGCATACGTGACTTAAGGGCGTGTTAAAAACTAGTCAAGCTAAAACAAAAGAAAATTCCCAACGAGACTCAATGGAAATTAGATTCTATAAAAAGTTTTTTTTCTTTAATTTTTTATTATTCCCAAAAGAGATAAAGTAAAAAATCTGTTGTTAAGGAGGTCCTTTCGCCGCCAATGTAAAATAAAAAATATTAGATTATGAGTAAATTCAATTTTTTTCTAATAGTTAAGGTCCTTATTTATCTAATAGTGAGGTTTAAATTATACTTTACCGGACAAATTTTTAAACCTCACTATTAGATAAATAAGGACTTCAACTATTAGAAAAAAATTTAATTTACTCATAATCTAATATTTTTTATTTTACATTGGCGGCGAAAGGACCTCCTTAACAAACTTTTTTATTATTTTTTTTTTTGCCATAATTATAAAATCTCTGATAAATTAATTTTCATCACAAATAAAGGAGAAAAAAAAATTAACATGTAGAAATTTTTCAAAATTAAAACTGTAATTTTTTAAAAATGATTTGTTGGAACAAATTTGTTTGTTAAAAAAAAATTAAAAAATAATCAAGTGACTGCTTAATATATAAAAAAAAAAAAAAATATAATACTAAAGTTACCCGACGTTTTTAATTTTTTGATTTTTTTTTTAATAATTAAATTAGAAGAAAAAAATATTTTTTAAAAATTGCACTGCAAGTTCTTAAAGTTTTTTACAAATGAAATTTTTTTTTAATAAAAAAAAAGTTCTAAAAATTTTTAGATGTCGGCTAACTAACTTTTTATAAAGAAAAATTACCTTCTCCCATATATCCATATCCAGTAACCGTACATCTCTTCCCAGCAGTATGACTGACCCCTCTGGCAGGTAAGCAAACTAAACAAACGCCATCTTTTAATTCCGCTTGTCCGTGAAGTTTCAACAATGCAATGTCATTGTCCAGCGTTTGACTGTTGTGGTTATGGTGAATATAAGTAGTAGCTACTCTCAAAGTCTGAGCTGCTGAGCTTCCATATTTCCTTGTCAAATCATGATCTCCAACGCGCACGTAAATGGCATCACCTGATCTGACAATGCTACCAGAATCTGTCAGATTGTGCTTAGAACTAACCTGTATAAATATCCTAACCTACAATAACTTACTTAGTGACACAGTGAGCGGCTGTTAGGACCCATTGAGTGCCGATAAGAGCTCCACCACATAAATATTGATTCAAAGAATTGATAAGAGCTACTTGCCAACACCAATATATATATAACTTAATAATTATCCGCTCCTTTTAAAATCTTTAAAATCAATTACTTGATAAAAATAAATCATTTAAATAAAGAGTAAAAAAGAAAAAAATTGAAAATAATAATAATAATAATAATAATAATGACAGTAACAAAAACAGCAGCAGCTTCATATATAGTAAGTCGTGCATATCATTGTTATATATTTATATGTATACATTATTATATTTACGGCTACGGCACGTGCGATTATCGTCTCCGGAACCGGAAATACAGTTGGATGCTCTTCCACCTGGGTTTCCATAAGTTTTACTACAGCAGGGGGCATATACTGCACATACTTCCACAGTGACCGGCAGTAACCGGTCACTCTCCTGTCTACCTATATAATATTAAATATTATAAATATATATAGTACAAGACTGATTAATTTTTTTGATTCCCGTCAATTTAAATAAAATTAATTATATAATGTATAAAGGTACTAATTAAATTTAAAAATAAATTGAAATAACAATTATTGATTTTAATTATAAAATTTTTATTTTCTCGGGATAAAATTTAAAAACCGCTGTCAAGTGAATTTACTTGTTTCATTATAAAAGCTGAACGCGTGGCGAGAAAGGAACGTGTTCGCATGACTCGCGATCAACTTTACGACGCATACGTGACTTAAGGGCGTGTTAAAAACTAGTCAAGCTAAAACAAAAGAAAATTCCCAACGAGACTCAATGGAAATTAGATTCTATAAAAAGTTTTTTTTCTTTAATTTTTTATTATTCCCAAAAGAGATAAAGTAAAAAATCTGTTGTTAAGGAGGTCCTTTCGCCGCCAATGTAAAATAAAAAATATTAGATTATGAGTAAATTCAATTTTTTTCTAATAGTTAAGGTCCTTATTTATCTAATAGTGAGGTTTAAATTATACTTTACCGGACAAATTTTTGAAAAAATAAAATTTTTAAATGTCAGTATTTGTTCACAGTCTTGTGAGAAAGTCAGACGTTTGCAGTATTTCTCGAATTATACTATCAGTCATGGATTAGATGAAGTAAAAAAAAACTAAAAATTAGATTTTTGAAATATTCAGGTTTCTTTTTTTGCAATAAAATATATCAGTTACCGAGATATTTATTGAGAAATTAATATTTAAAAATCACAAAAAATTCCCAAGTAACTTACGTTAAAATGGAGTCAAAACATTTGGCAACGTTGCGTATCGCGGGAGCTTCAGACCATTCAATAAATTCAAACTAATTTATTTATTTACCACTGATTGCAAAAACTTAAACGTGGTTAAGGTTATATTGTGCAAATGAAAATGTAAACAACCGATATGTAGCGTTGCCAAATCACGGACAGGTTACTAGCAGTTGATTTGAAAGAGTCAAATTAATTTTTGTATTTAACTATTTTTTTTTTTATTTTCAAAATTTCAAGGATTAATGCCTCATATACTATTTATTATTTAATTTTAGGAATTTTTATGGGTTTCTTTTTTTAATTTATCGTATATTGACTACTACAATTGTTTTGACTCAACTGGAGCGAAAGGATTTCCTTAATTTTTATAGCGTATCAATAAAAGTAATCCAGTAATAATAATAATAATAATAATAATAATAATAATAACAACTTCAGTGACACATAACAAAATGTATAGAGTAGCAGCATAAGCAAGTAGATATTTTTTCAAATAAAACGATTGTTATCATTATTATTCTATATATTCTGATACTAAATTATGAGAATGAAAAATTATATTAAACGTCAAACAAAATGTTAATGACCTTATCCACGCAAAGTAGTATTCGATCAGTAGTAAATCTCTCAAGTCTGACATTTTTGTTGACTTTACATTCACCACATATAACTATGTATTATATATTTTTATTTTTTATTATTATTTTGTATTCCCATTAAAACTAATGACATACTATAAGTTGTTATTTGACAGCCAAGTATTTATATAGTCATCAGATTATTTTACATAAAAGCTTGTTTAAAGTTTCTATGATAAATGATGAATGACAACACTATATTATTGTTCCATCAATAGATTTTTAATCAAAAACTTTAATATACTTATTCGAGTTAAAATAATTATTAAAATCAAGTAGCTTTCGTTATAGCAGACAATAATTATTATTTTTGTTTAATTTCAATAATAATGAAAAAAAAAAAAAAAAAAAAAAAAAAAAAACAAGCATCTGATGATAATAAATAAATTATTGTCTACTGAAAGGCATATAGAAACTAAAAGCATATGGAGAATGTTAAACCAGAAAATAACGCAACTCAATTACTGAATGGATTAGGGTGAATGTCTTATGGGTCCGGTGCATGCTTAAAATTAACTTACCAAACAGATAAAGACATATAGGTCACTAAACATGCAATCAGTGGTACACTGCAAAATTTGACCTACCATCATCATCATAATCATTATTATTATGATCGTTGTCATGATATCATGATTGTTGTTATTTAAATCATTATTATTAATTATTATTATTTGTATTAGAGTATTCTTCTCATATGTGTGGCAGAAACGCATATAGAGTGTAACAAGAGTAACGTGATTTTCTCATGCCATGTGAATTATTGCCATAACAACAAGGTTCTTGTAATTTAAACTGATTTAAACCCTTAAACTGCCTCACCTTAAACGGTAATAACGTAAAACTTGTTAAAAAAAAAAAAAAAAAAAAAAAAAACAAATATTACAAGGTGGAAAAGTAATTACTACCTATCACCTAAATATCTTTATTATAATAATAATAATTATTATTATTATTATATTATATTGTATAAAAAATCATATCATACTAAATAAAGCATTAGGATAATGTTATTTAAAATAAATATTTTTTCCAAATTTAATGAATATATATATCTATATATAAGGAGTAGAAAGGCGTCGCAGTGTCTAGAGGTCGGACAGCAGAACCCTATATCTATCTATCTTATATACTTTATAAGTTATATCTACTCGCTCTCTAAGGTGTCGAGTAATGTTGAATTTATGCATTACCAACCCATTTCTTCTTATGCATCTTCCGACTTTGAATTACTGCTGAATCCTTCTATATATACTATACTATAGAGTCTTTCAACACTTGTTTTTTTTTTTTTTTACTTTTTACTCAAAATAACAAATAATTCAACTATTTTAACTTGAATTAGAAACATAAAAAATCGAACAATTTATCTAAAAATCATCTAATAAAGTTTATTGCCTTGTAAAAAAGTAGGAGGTGTATTTTAGTTGATAAAAAAATAATAAATAGATAAATAAAAATAGATGGTTACGATGATTACAAAGTAGTTGAGAAATGGGCAGAGGAAAGCCGAGAAGAGAACAAGAAAAGGGAAAGAAAAATTTACATATGACCAACTTAATCGCAGTGCCAACACCTTGTGCGAGCTAGGAACATTGTTAAATTATACTCTAGATATATAATATAAAATATAGGTAGTTAAATTTTTAAGTAAACAAATAAAAATAATATGAATTTATTTTGATTTAAATGTTACAGAAAGCAATCAACTAGTAATAAAATCAATAAGTGTACCGGAATTATTGAGAGAAGGAGAAACGGATTATGTTATATTAGATTGTGATTATGATCTTGAAAATATATCTAGTGATGGATTAGTTGTTAAATGGTATTTTAATGACGATAATGTTGAATACCAGTGGATATATGGACACAAGCCTCAGGCTGATCCAAGTGCTAGTCATATAGATCTTGGATATAAAGCCAGTGATAATCCTTATACTATGTATCGGGCTATGAAATTAAATAATCCAACAATTAATTTAACGGGAGACTACAGGTGTGCGGTGTTTACCTATCAAGATGAAGAAATAGCTGACGCTAGTATGATTGTATATTGTAAGTATTTAACAATATACTATAATTATTACAATAAATAAAAAAATTTATTTTATGTATTTTTTAGCAACAGAAGAAAAATTCGATTTAAAGTATAGAAAAAAAATAATTGATGGTAAAGAAGGAGTCGAATTGACATGTTTTGCAGAGGGATTGTATCCACAACCAACAATGGATATTTATGTAAAGTAAGATACATACAATTAATTGTTATTCAACTAATTAATAATAATAATAATAATAATAATAAATATAATTTTACAGTGATATTATTGTTAATGAAACAATTACTTCGGATTTAACGATGCGTAATGACAGCAAGTATGACATTATGATGCAAGTTGTTGCTAAAAATGAGGACTTAGCAAATGAGGCTCTTGTTAAATGTAGTTTATCGATTCCTAAAGCAAATTACACTATTCCACGTGAATTAATCTACATACCTGGTAAGATATTTGTTTAGTGATTTACGTATAATACCTCCTATTAATAAATAATAATTAATTTGCTTAATATTTAATAATAAATTTTTTGCTTATAACTTGTAATATATATTAATGCTTATATAACCTGATCTTGATAGACGTGGTATGTGGTGTTTTGTTGTTTAGGAACGCCAACCAGTACGCCTTCTGTAACAACCAATCTACTACGAAAAATGGAGATCCAGGCAATAAACAGCTCTGAACCAGACAATACTGACAATGGTGGTAAGATTATTCGCAATCCACCTTATTTTTTTTTTTCTTTTTTATTTTTTTTTTATTTCCTCTCGTTCTTTTTATTTTGTTAAAATCTAATATTTTTTTTTTTAATTTTACTACATTTTTTTTATTGTATATTCTTAAATAAATATCAAGTGTAGCATCATCTTATTTGAAATCACAATTAAAAAATTATCCTTTTCAAAATTTTTTATATTCAAAAATAAAAAAAATGATGTGTATATAATTCAATTACACCACCATTGTTATCTATAAATAACTTTATTTTTTATTATTTTTGGGGTGCTATTTACTCTTGCATGACGCTAAAATGTGTTTCGCTATTCAAGTGCATTTAAATAAATAAATAAATAAAGTAGGTAAACAGCATGTTAATATATATTACTATAAATGATAAAGCTATTATGATGATGATGATGATTAGTTTAACAAAATTGAGTGAATTGTACATAAAGGCATTAATATTTAATAAGTATAAACTCCATCACCGGTACACGAAACTAAACTCCAGTAGTATTCGGTATTCGATATTCGGTACTTTCAAAAGTCTCACCAGTCTCAGTATTAAGTACCTAACAACTACTATAATAGTCGTATAGTAGTATATTATGAAGAGCGCATCTAGAAAGAGTAAGCTATTAAAAATTTAGTGTCTTTGTAGGTTTCGAGTTTACACATTAAATATATAATAAAGAGATAAATTCGGAAAAAACAAGATACTATCAGTGTCACTGCTGTAGAGAAGTTTACTTCAGCAATATATAGTATATACCGCCAGCAACACCCATCAACAAACTAATAATTTAAGGGGACATATTAACACACGCCCAACTTTTGTTGTTATTTATCAGTATAAGCCATGCTAATGCCATGAAATAAGATTGAGTGAATTTTCTTTCTTTCTCTCTCACTTTCTCTGTAAAAGAAATTTTACCCTCAGGTTATATTTGGTTTTGACTTAATAGTTGATACTGTTACTTTATATGATATGATATTCAACGTTAATATCAAGTGTATAAATATATGGTATATATAATAGTGTATATAGTGTAGATATATGGTAGGCAGGATGCTTTTGGTGGTACTACTACTACTACTAGTGATACTACTGCTAAAATAGCAAACTGCATGGATGAGAGTAAAATGACTTTACCAAAATTGTGGTGAAAACTTGTTGGGGTGTTGGGTGCATTATTTCAAGTACTAAAGCGAACCGTAATGTAGTGGGTTTGCTGAGGCTTTCTTGCGGTTTAACTATTTTATTATTTATTTATTTATTTTTTACTTTTAATATTTCCAATATTAAATATTATCGATAACATAAATATCAAAAACTTATTATAACTACTTGTGTGATTATTCTTAACTACTAAAGTTTAATCAAAAAAATTATTACAGAAATAATAAATCGGCCACTTAGTATAACAAATTCAAATTTAAGTCTTCAGTGTAATATCTCATTTTGATATATCCAGTATAAAATAATTTTACTGCCGTACATTATCACTGTCATTTTTTTTTTTTTTTTTTTTTTTTTTTTTTTTTTTTTTTTATTCAATACTGATAGAGTATCTATAGATACCTATATAAACAATATTAGTATTAGTCGAAGAAAAAAAAGACAAAGCAAAAATAAGTTTCTCTTATAGATTTTTCGGGTTTTCCCTCGGGTAGATGACTCGTAAGTAAATTGCCGCGCCGTATTTTTTCACCCTCTCTCTTGTCTCTTCTGCCTGAACATCAGGAAGGATGCCTTGTTTCCTTTTGCGATTTTCTCTTACTATTCTCACTCTACATTTTCCACTTTTTCACTTTTCCTTCCGTTTCCTTCACTCTCTTCTTTCTTCATTTTCACAACCATTTTTTTATTTTATTTTTATGGTTTGACTTGGTTTATATTGTTATTATTATTATTATTTTATTAATATTTTTTTTTTTTTCAAAACACGTTTGCCAATTTTTAAATAATCTTTTTATTTAATTTTAATGCATCTTTTCAGGTAAACTAAAACAACTCAATGAATATAAATTATTTTTTCTTCATTTTTTTTTTCATTTAATTTTTATTAACTCATGTAAAGTTGATATAATATTTTCGTTTGATATTAATGAATATACAGATGTAATTTAGAATGATGAACAAAAGAAAATGATAAAAAATAATATAAAGTAAAAGTGCTTTGAGGATTAATTTGGGATGAACGTGACTGAGTATAAATTGCGGTCAAAGCTTTTCAAACGAGAACTCACCTCTTCATCCCCTTTTAAACTTAACAAATTCTCTTTGTTCCTTCGTTTAGTAGTTTAGCTGTTTGATTTGTATTGTATTATTATATATCACATATTGCATATACTCTATAACTATAAAGTGGTATATCTTTTTATTAATTCGTATAATTGGTAACTTTTATGGTAAGCTATCATCCATCTGAATTGTTATACCTATATATACATTGTCGATACTAATTGTGTATTTCTACTTGGATTAGTTGTACTAATACTTGATTTAGTATTTTGGTATTGCTACGGACGATCTGTGATATTTAATGCTCTTGAAGCTTTCAGCAATTGGATAAATCAACGGTGGAATGCTGTTAGTTTCTATATAGTGGAATGCTTTTTAACTCAATAAACTATGTGGGCGTGGATCTTTTCATTATAAATTTAATAAAAAACAAATAAAAGAACATCAACTATCCATTTAATTCTAACTCACGATATTTAATAAATATAAACGACGATATATAATTATAATTAAATTAATTTTACCAAAAAATAAATTTTAAAAACAAAACGCATTGATATTATAGGGTAAAAAAAAATCACATAATTCACAATCACGTAATGTTTTTAATATACATTATTTAATGTTTAAATTAATAAAAAATGCTTGGTTTGTTCTTATACTCATAAATATAAAACAGCTATGATTTATAATTTATTGCTTTCCAGAGTTAAAACTTTTATGCATATACGAATATACCTACTACAAACGTAAAATCTGTAAACTTATAGTAGTAAAGCCGATCTAATAATAAAATCCAATATATTAACAGTGTAACACCATAAAATTTAAAATGATAATTTCACCAAGCATTTAATTAACGCATTTTCTTATCCTATTTTATCAATTAACTGTTAATTATAAATTATAAAAATTATAATCAAGTTTTAGTTGTATTGGTAGCGCATTAGTATTAACTGTAAATCGATACTATTATGATATACGTAAATAAAGAATAAATGATACAGTCTCATCATCATCATCGATATAATCAATCTGATAATATACTTATGTATGTATATAGATACATGCGACGTAAAGCATAGTATAATAGTTTGACTATTGGTGGCCCCATTAATTGAAACTATATACCGATGTAGTATGTATGCAGAATATACGGGCCGTTAAATTTTATCTGGTGGTTCGGTTACCATTCTATCCGGGAGGCCTGCTCTCTAGATCCTGTTGGCTATTCTGACTATTAGGTGTATCCTCTAACTGTATCAACCATTCCTACATTTTATGTATATATATATATATATATATATATATATATATATATATTAAGATGCATCAGTTAATCGCTGATAATAAATAATTGTCAATATTTGCGTAGCAAAATTTCAATTTTTTGTAAGATATTATCACGCCACGTTTTACAATTACTTGTCAATATTTAAACAATGCATAGAATATATTTTTTTCAAATTCATCAATATATTTTTAACATAAATTATTATTAAATGTCATATACACGCGCAGACGCCGGTATTACCGCATAATACTTACATAAAAAAATTATATCCAAAATAAAAATAAAATTTCTAAACAAAAATTCAATTAAATCAATAAAATGTCTTCCAGTAATTTTACTATAAACAATATTTTAGTGTGATGACAATCATAATAGTCTGTTGCTATAACAACGGTAGGTTTGTTAACTAAAAAAAGTATTAATACACATTTTGGCGTGTGATGACATTACATAGCTTAGGTGGAAATTCATCAGTTTAATTTCGCAGACGATTATCACTGTCATCTTAATGCGAATAAGCTCGTCGTGTCATAAAACTGCGTCCGTTATCTTTAATCGTTTGCTTAGTTGCCGCATTAGTCATATTTGTGATAATAATTATTTCTCCTTTGAAATACAACGAGCCCACTGCTCACAATCAGTTAGATTTTCACGACACTGTTTGTGTTTATTTAAAAAAGTAAACCAACCGACTTTATTAATAAATTATTATTTTTACCCTTTATTCTCACAGCCCGTCAAAATGGTCTGGATTACAGCTGATGATAAGGTATCCTTGTCTAAATTCAAGTGTCTAATATCACAGTTTTTTTCTTTTTATTATATTTTTCAATTTAGATAATAAATAAATAAATAAATAAATACGTAGTGCTTTTACTTTTATTTATTTCTAAAGTTTTAAATTAACCAGTAGAAACTTTTTTTGTGTAGTGCGCTTTGTTCCATTTTTTATGTAACCGTTAAACTAGTTACGTAGATATACCTTTAACTAATATTCTATTTTTGTTGTCCTCGACACTAGCCTTCACTATTTGTCTGCACTTTAATTTATAAAAATATTTTAACTTTGTTTATTTACTTACTTACAGATAATCTCACTTTGGTATAAAATAATTTTTTGAGTTAACGCATGGCTGATTAAATTATAATAATAATAATAATAATAATAATAAATTAATGTAAATAAAAATTGATTAAGATAATGAATATCTAATGTAAATATAAATTAATAATAATTGCGAAAAATAGCATAAATACTATATTATATATTATATAATTTGTCATATTAATTTAAAAATGAAATGAACATTGTTATTGAAAAAGAAAAAGAAAAAAAAAAAAAAAAAAAAAAAAACCTGTACAATACTTTTACATGTTCAATGTAAGATATTAATAATAACTTATTAATACTCAATACAAAAGAAATGTCTCAAATGGCATTACATTAGATACAATCAATTTTAATTAATAAAATGTGTATAATAATATTTAATAAATTGACAACAAAATTATTTCCTTTGGAAATCAAAAATAACATTCATAAAATTAATATTTAGAAAAAAAATAATCAAATTAATTTTTTATCGTCATTTACTATGACTTAACAGTGACTTAATACTTATTAACGTAAGAATTATAAAAAATATCTGAGAAACGTAAATAAAGTAAAAATTTAAAAATTAAAGTCTACTGATTTTTATAAATAAAGACTTATTTTATAGATAACCAATTTAACCAAAGGTTAATTAACAATTATAAAGATCTATACAGTTAATTATTTATCGAAGCATCCAAATAGAGAGTAATAAAAATATTAATAGTAGTCTAAAACGTTCGCGCAAGCTCGAAATTATATTTCGCGCACACTCCTGGATTCCCGATTTGTTTGGCCAACTGGCACTACTCTTCCTATTAGTTGTACCAGTAGTAGATGCTCGCGTCTCGTCCTAACAGCACGTTCTATATGACACGTGTTTCAATCCTACTGAACTTTTAAAATTTTATCAATTTTTTTTTTTATTTAATCCAATTAACTTAAAAAATTTAGTGTTGTTATTAATAACAGTGATAATAAAATATATTGATCATTTATTGAAATAGTGTTTAATAAAATCGGATGTTGAGTTTATTTAAATACTGTTTGATGGAATAGTTAAATAAATAATTAAAAAAGTGTTTTGTTGTTAGTTTTAAAATAAATAATGCATATAATGTAGTTTAATTAATTAATAAATTATGACATGTTTAAATTTGTTTTTAAAGTGTTATATATAGTTATTAAATTAATTTAAATTATAAATAAATAAAAACATTAGTGAGTGGATATGGATAACCAATTATCATTAGATCTTTTTATTATTCTTATTGCTAGTTTTTTTATTAAAAGTAAGTATGAAAACTTTACTAAAGTTGTTAAAATTACTTAAAATTAATTTAATGATTGCGTCTGTATTATAATTTGTTAACTTTTATCAAATAGTTATTCAATAGTTAAATCTATTGGGATAAAAATAAAATAAAAAATAAAAGGTGTAATAAATACTTTCAATTGATAACATTGATTGTGCATTTATTATTCCATTTAAAATTTGTTTTAATAATATATCAGTAGAAGTAAATAAATAGTAATAGACTAATAGGTATATTGGTTATAGGATATAGATAGTATAGGTAGTATAGGTAGTATAGGTAGTATAGGAGCAATTTGAATGTCCATCCATTCGAATAAGGCCGGTTATTGGATGCCGGCAGATTTTAGCTTGTGATTGAGTATTTGATCCTATTGACCGTTAGGTGCATAGGTGTACGGGTACGGGTACGGGTACGGGTAGCTTAACGACTATCGGATAGTACAGGGTAACCAAACTCACTTTTCCATTTTCATTTTTATTATATTTTTTAAAAATTATACATCATCAATGTTGTTTAACAACACTACAGAAAAATAATAAAATAAAAAATCAAACTTGAGGTTATTATTACTAAAACCTCGCATAAGTAAAATCTTGAACGTCTTAAATCTACGGTATTTTTCTAATAGAGTATAAAAAGAGACCTTATACATTTATACATTTAATCTTTCTCATATTACCCTTTGTTAAATAGATAGGGGAAAAGAGCAATCCCGATACCTTTGTCATTTTTTTTTTGTCGCTGGTCTTTCACCTCTATCACCCGCAATCACTGTTCTCATGTTTTAGTGGCTTCACTTTTTCTATTTTATTTTATTTATTTAATCCTTGTTATTTTTTATTCAATATGCTTTATATAGAATGACAAACTTTATATAAAATAATAGGAAATATAATTCCAACTATGTATAACATTCTTCAATCTTTAAATTGAATTAAAATGTTGAAAAAAAAACATATTTTAGGGTGTGAAATAGCAGTATCTTTATGAGTATATGATGTATAGTACAGTCCTTCACCGTTAGTACCATTAATATGTATAATATCTTTAACTTTGGCTCTTCTAATGAGTAATAAGTTTTATTAAAAGTAGTCGCGGAACAGCGGAACAACTTTTAAAAAGGGCTCGAGGAGATTGCATTAGCGCTTTCACACGCAATGCTGCCACTAACTACTGATGTCGACTCTTTTATAATAACAATATTTATCCATAATTTTTATTCTACATTTAATTTTTTTTATTTTTTTATTTTTTTGTTTTATAACTTTAACCCGTCACTTGCTTTTTTTACAACCCCTTTCGCACTTGAGGCACCGTGTAGAAAACTCACACATCATACGAATACCGCGTACGATTCACCAACCCATAATTTTCATTCCTCTACAAGAAGGCGCTGCTCTAGTGGTTTTTATTAAAACAAAAATAAAAAAATAAAAAAAAAACCCAAAGCTTTTTATACCACTCGTTCTAGTATATTTTTACCTTTACATTTACACATATGAATGTATGTATATGTATGTATGTATGTATGTATATTGAATACCGATGGGCTGCAGTCTACTTGAGATTGTCAAGGGTCGGTAACAACTGGAGACGCGATAAGCTTATGGTTGTACATGTGTACCTTCAAAGTTCCTTTACTTTTTTACCTTTGATGTCATATATTTCACGTACGCACAAAGAATTTTATAAAATCAAATAAAAGAAGAACGAAAGAAAGTAAAAACGTACGATAGAACGATGACTGTCGATTCAAAGCGATAACTTGACAAAATTTATTTAATTGTTAACAATATATTAAATGAAATTTTTTTATTTTTATCTCGTATAATACCGCATTAATTATTATTATTATTATTATTATTATTATTATAAAAAAGTATTTATATATAAATATGTATGCAAATTATATTAAAGAAAATATGTATACAAAAATGACACGTCAACATGTTATGGGGGGTCACGACATCCCTCTAAGTGGAAAAAAAAAAAATATAATAGCTTAATTCCGTATTGATCCAAGCATTCAACCAGTAATACAAGTTGCATACTCACAATAACGATCAAGTAACCGGCTAGTACACTGATATACACATTAATCATATTTAATACATCTAAAATTTTTTTTATTTTTCAAATTGGATAACATTAAATGTTTAAGTGGTCTGACTATATTATCCAGTTTATTGACTGGTAAATTTAAAAAGTGATATGTAGATGTTTAGATATTCAAAATGTTATTATTACAGAAGCAGAACCAATAAATATAACCTCAGTTGAAATTCCACGAGTAGTAAGAGCTGGTAGTGAAGAACCAACAATACTTGATTGCAAATACGATATGGGATCATCAACAAATAATGCACTTGTCGTTAAGTGGTCAGTTAATGATTTACCTTTATATCAATGGATCCACAACTCATTGCCTAAAGGATCTGATGAACTTAGTCAGTACGTTGATGCGACTTATAAAGCTAGCAACGATTCAAACACAATGTACAGAGCAGTTAAACTTGTCAGACCGGGGCATGAACTTTCTGGAAAAATAAGATGTAGCATATCATCTCAAGATGATGAAACTGAAGCTACCAGAGAAATGTTAGTTTATTGTGAGTAACTTTTCATCTATTCATACTTAATACTTAATATATTTTACTATAAATTGTCACAAATTCTAATTCTATTTTGGGACAACTTAATTTAACCAATAATGAGTAGTCTAATAAAAGGCTCAGATACTTAGTATTTCAATACTGTGTGTAAATCTACCAGGCGCTGTTCACAAGTAGTAAAAATCGAATTTAGTCTGACGAGAATATTCATTGCGCTCTCTCTCTTTTTCTCGCATGCTGTCATTTTATTACACAGTTTCAGTATGTAGACACTCACATGAGTAATATTTTTTTATAGTTAAATAATAATAATAATTTTTTTGGACTTATAAACAATTAAAGTATTTATGTAAATAAAAAAACTCAAAAAGTAAATAAAATTCTATATATTGATTGCACATAGGTTACAGAGAGACAAACAAAAAAGAAAAAGAAAAAGAAAATATAATATCATCTCATCGTGTGTTATATATGATAACAAAACTATAACAGAATAGGGTTTGTAAAATAATAACATATGCTGTTGTCAGTCGATACTTTTTTTTTTGTCATTCGACTCTCAATAGGAAAGGAAACAAAAAAATTTACTTTAGCGCCGAGAAACACTCGGTTTAAAATACATCATTTTGTTTTATTTTTTTTTTTTTTTTTTTTTTTTTTTCATTTACATTATCAAAAGTTTTAGACAGGATTTATTTTTATATTACTGTAATTATTTCTTTTTGATTAACTTTTTGCAACAAAAAATATATTTAAAATATTAAAAATATATATTTGTTTTTTTTTTAGCTCCAGAAAAGGTTTTTAAAATACTAGATCCAACGATAAACGAAGATTCCACACAACTAACCACAAGGTGCTTAGCTGAAGACCTTTATCCACTTCCTACGATAAAGCTTTTTCAAGACAAGTAAGCTTTACTGTATTTTTCTCTCCTTCTTCTTCTTCTTCTTCTTCTAATATTTTATTTTTTTTATTGGTGATATGATTAAATTTATATAATTTTGAAAATCAATATAGAATAAGAATAAAGAAGTAGCTTTATATCATTTTAATATATATGAATAAACGAAAAAATATCTATTTTTATGTTATATTATATTGTTATAGTCAGCCAATAAAAAAACAAAGGCAATATTACAAAAATAAAACAGATGGTCGACATAACGTTGAGGCTAATGCTACTTTGGAGATGGACCAAATTAAATTACCAACAGTATTTAAATGTGAATTATTTATTAAAGAAGCTAATTATACTTCAGTAATAAAATATGTATACAATGGTAAGTAATTAAACAAAAAAAGCTATGTGTTTTATTTTAATCATTAAATAATTGTGAATGTTAACAAAGTTTACAAAATTTCTATTGTAAAATATTTTCCAATTATAAAATGTTAGTTATTATTATTATCATTATAAGTATACCGGAAAATAGTAGAAAAAAAATCGTTTAATTAGAGGGCCAAAAATGACCTTGTTATGCGTAAGTTTTCATGCGTAATTAAATGAAAATATTTATTAAATAGTATGAATAGTTAAAAAAAAAAAAAAAAAAAACGAGAGAGAAAATTCTTTAGTATAAAACATTGACAGCGGATTTAAAAATTTTTTCATTTCATTTAAACAACTTTTCTCTAAGTTGTCAACCACTCAATGTCGTAAATTTAACCCCATCTGGGCATCCGGAGGTTGAAAATAGAAAATGTCCCAGGTGAAAATAGCCAGGAAAGTAATAAATCTTGGTTGCTGACTAAAAAGGCAGACGGTCGTCATCTGGACAGTATTTTCCCGCTATTTTATCTCTTAGTCTTTAATATTTTTTTACATTTTCCATTTTATCAAGTGCAGCAAGAACAGTATTAATATTATTATCTTCATTTATATATTTTTATTTAATTTATAATAATTTGATAAAATTAAATTTTACCGATTGGATGTTGATGAAATAATTTAGTTCGGTCAGATAGTAATTATCAAAGAGAAGAAAGAAAAAAGAGTACAGAAAAAAAAAATGAGAATAGAGAATAGAGTGAGAAAGGTGGTACCTACAATCGGAGAGTAGAAAACAGTGAAGGATATTTCCCACAGGAGAAAAAAAAACCAAAAAAAAAAAAATAAAAAAGTATTGTTACAGTCTTATTGCCGAGCGTAAAACCTTCAATGTGTAATAGGTTAAAGTAGAATGAGTTTATTCGGTTCACTTGATTCTACTCAATGTCTCTTCTTTTTCTTTTCATTCCAACATCAACGTCCGAGTTTTATTTTTTACTTTTTAGTTTCGTAATTTTTTTCCGATTTTAGGATCAATATTATACTCTGAAAACAGCTACGAGCATTTTAATTATACACATATAAAATATATTGTTATCATTGTTGCGTTATTAATTAATTAATTAAACTATTATATTTGTTGTAATTATTCCAGGAGGATCTCTTAAATCGGATGTTTCACTACTTTTGTTCTTCTTAATTATTGGACTTTTTGTCACCAACAATTTAACCAACCCAATTATCAGCTTCACCACCATTACCATTAAGACGACAACTCACGGTTTATGTTAACCAGAAATTTTATTATTAATTATAATAAATCCCCTTAAAAATTATTAGTAATATTTAAATTTCATTGAATAATAATAAAAATAACATAAATTTATCTATACATATTATTATTATTATTATTATTATTATTATCATCATCGCCGTGTATACATTTTTATATAAGGTAAGTGTACTCTGCACTTTAATGTATTAATTTTGCCGTAATTGAAAAAATTATATTTTTACTTTAAAGTATAATTAGTAAATGACTTGAACTATCAAAAAAATTATCAGAAAATAAATGTAGAGTTTCTTAATCGCATCAGCAGCTTAATAATAAAATATTATAAATTATAACATTTTTAGCGACTTTCTTATACCTCAAAACGAAAGTACAACAGATAATTTAAAATTTAACCATTTAAAATATAACACACACACACACACACACACACACACACGAATTTTCGTTGTACGTGTGTGCATCACAGTTTATTAAATACAGGGTAATTATTAAATAAAATTCAAATTTATAAATTACTACTTGATAAACTTATAGTATATTATTTCTCAGTAATTTAAATTAGTAAAAAATAAATAAAATCTTCTTGTATGAAATTAGTTCGTATTTCAAATTGGCGATTAATTATTAATTAATAGACAAAGATTAAAAATAAAAATATTATGAGACATTAAATTGAAAATGTTAGGAAAAAAATTTTTAAAAATTAAAAAAGCCATTTTATCATAAAATGGATAAATCTTAAGAATAGTTGAGCTTTTTTTTCTTCTTGGTCCTCTGTACTGATAAACTGTTAGGTTATTAAAGCGTGAAAATATGCCCTTAAAAGTTTAAAGTTTTGTTCTTAAAATGATGACGACTTTTATAAAGCTTGCAACTTTAAAACTCCAGTAAAGTATAATTTTTTTTTTTTTTTTTGATTAATTTAATACGTACTGAATGTCGGCCTTGTTATTAAATATATTAGTACCGTAAAGAATATTTTATACCCATTGAAGCCCATGTTGGAGACAGTGAAAAGGATTTAAATAAATATGTATATTAATAAGTAAAGTAAAACTCCGTAAATTAAAAAATATTAAAAGGATCATGAAAAAAAAAAAAAAAAAAAAAAAAAAGAAAAAAGATATATATAAGCAAGTAAAAAAGAAAGATTATCTTTTGTGATACTGTGATACAATTTCACTTGTGAGCCAGTTTAATAAAAAGAAAAGATAATAAAGATAATAAAGAAAGAAAAAAGCTTGAATGTTATTCTTTGATTTTCTTTTTTTTTTCAAATAATATTAATTCAATGGCTTAATTAATTCAGTTAGTAGTGTACTGAAAGAGAACTGAGAGAATATTCATTAAAATCATTAAAGCTGGCTTCTGATGATGTTATCAAAAGTTAAATTGCGACGTCTGATAATAAAAAATCTTTAAAATCTTTAAAAGACTATACTACTTGATAAAAAATACTTTTTCAAAGTACTTTTTAATATTTATTCATTTAATATTATTAATGTTTTAGCAAACACGCTGTATATTGCGCTCTCTATAATATAAATATAATAAATAATAATGAATTAATGACGACTATAAAATATAACGACGGCGTGAAAAAATTAAATAAAAATTTATAGTTGTATATCTATAGCCTATTGAATATTGAATATTGTTACATAAAACTCTAACCTAAATAAAAATCACAATGTATCGTGTTCTATCGTTGTTATTTAATAAAATTTAATAATAATAATAATAATGAACATCAATTATATATATGTCAACTATTTCAATAAGATACGAGTAAGTTAATAAAATTTTTGTTGCATCGTTTGTAATGTTAGTTTGATTAAAATTTTTTTAAATTTCATTGTTAGATATGTATCTATTAATTATAAATACTTATATCTCATATTCATATATATATATATTTATTTTTATTATTCTTACATTTATATATTATAAATATATATACAATTGATTATTTTTTGAATTAAAATAATTATTTATAATAGAAACAAATAAACGTTTTAAATACAATTAAAAATTTTGTCACTTAATTATTTATTATTTAACTAATTAAAAAGATAACTAATTCCGTATTATTAATACCCACAGTGATGTAATTTAGTTTAATCCATAGCTTTTTAATATTTTATAGTTAGAAAAAAAAAAAAAAAAAAAACCTTTAATTACAACCAAGGCGAACAAACAACATTTAACTGCTTGGGGAAAAGTTATCAAGTGGAAATTTAATTCCCATTCATATTAAAAAAGCAGAGTTAGCCACTTTTTTATTTCTTCAATTTTTATTTATTTATTTTATTTTCTTTGTCGATACAAATAAGCTTAAAAATATTTAAAACCCGTCGTTCCTACGAATAATGATTGAGTAAGTAATAATAATAGATTATAAAGTAATTGATGTTTACATATTAATACAGTTATTCAGTGTACGAGACGAAAATATACGTATATTGGTTAAAATATTCAGCCGCGTCTGACAGCGAATACTTTGTTATTAAAGGAGAAGAAAGAGAGAAAAAGAGAAAAAAAGAGAGAGAGATAGACTCTACGCCTTTATCAAATATTTTCAATTATTCTCTTTCTCTGTTGTACACTTTATATAAAATTACAGTGGTTTTATGCTCTAGAATATACAAACCGACTTTACCAGAGACTTTAAAAGTACTTAACTTTATTGTACAGTGTAATATACGTTGGACATTTAGAACCTCATGCTTTTTTTTTGTTTTTTTAATCTTTTTAATTATTTTACAAAAAAATATTTATCGTTAATATAGATTCAATTGAAATTATTCAATCAGGATATATAAATAATTTAGTAGAGTACAAAGAAGAATTTTGAAAATTTGTATAATTAAATTGGTGGTTAAGGTTAAAATAAGATAATTAAATTCTATATCTTAGCAACAACTGAGATAACTGCCTGAATGGTGCTTTTAACTGAAAATAGAATCCCTTGATAATAATATTCGCCGTGTAATTAACAATTTAGTATATGAGTTCAAGAACAAAATAAGGTATGTAAATGTATAGCAATATAGACGCATTACAAAGTCATCAGCTTTATACTTATATATTTTTCATTGATAAATGTTTGTTTACGAATAAATCATACATAAATTTAAAAAAAAAAATAAAAATTTATATATTTTTTTTTACACAGGGTTACTTAATTTAATATCTGTAATAAATGAATGAAACATATACGTAATATGTTATTACTTTCACTTTATACAGTACTAATAATTAATAACAATAACCATTATAATTTAAATGGTTAAATTTATCAAGTATAAAAAATATAATGAAATAAAGTTATTTAAGGAGAGATAGACTGGAATTTATTTTTTTTCTTTTTCCCTCTTACCGTACAGTCAGTGTGTATACATCATGTACAGAACATCTTAAATTATATTATTATAAGTTACCTGTAGTAAGCAGTAAGATTAACTGAGCGCTCAGAAGACCAATTATTTCCGACTTTCTCACAAGAGAAAACGCTACTTACTACTGAGTAATGTTAATTTGTAAGATACATATATATATATATATATATATATGTATATTTTTTTTTAATTTTCCCCTTTATTTTAGATTACCATAATAGGTAATAATAACAATGCAGCATAAATTATTTCCGTGTATAATGAAAAAAAAAAACAATTATTATTTTACGTATAAACATTAAAATGACGGATGATGAATTATAGGAGTAGATCATTTTTACGATTCAAACACTTGACATTTGCTATATATTATTTAATTATTAAACGAATCGTTTATTTGAGAAACCCCATAAGTCATACGGGGTTTCCATATGACTTATGGGGTTTCTCAAATAAACGATTCAAACATTTAATCATTAAATTAATTTTATTTTTAGCAACATAATTTGCGATTAATCAATATTTTGTTAATTAATACAATTGCTTGATATGATTGAAATTTATTATCAGTTAAATATTTGGATAAATTTTGAATAAAGCTTCAATAATATTAAAATTAAATGTAAATATACATTTACAGTCAATGTTATGATTTTATCAATCTATATATTATTAACTGATTACTATAATAATATTTATTTCTGTTATTTTTTCAATTTAATTCTTTAATCGATCAATTTATTTGTATGAAATAATTATAAAATCGGTAGGAGTTAGAGGTAGGGAACAATATCAACAAAAAAGTTGGTCCTCTCTTAATTAATTAACTCTTGTTTATCGAATTATTAATCAATCGAATGAAGAGAATATACAATATGTATGTATATCTCAATATCAAGAGCACATACACAAGAACACATCCGCAAAGTTAATTATATATGTGTATTATATAGAATGACAGGTTGGGCCACTTTCTTAGTAATAGATCGCATACTTGCTGTTATATATATATATATATATATATATAAATGTATACTGAGGATTGCTGACTCTGATGGCTCTGGTTTAAACTCTCGCGTCTTGGCTCTTGGCTCTTGGCTCTCAACTCTCGATAAATCCATACTACGTAAAAATCAATGGTACCGATGATGGAAGCGAATGTCTTTTTACCCTACGGCTAAAATATTTATAGATAAATCTGGATCAATGATCATCATTATATGTATATACCGAGATCAAATCTCACCTATCAATTCGAGTATAATTTTACAACGACATTTTTATATTTTTTTTTCACAACTTTGTTTACTTTTCTATTAAAAAAAATTACTTGATCATTTTTTTGATGTAATATATAATCCCTATATTTAATAATTTTCATCACTTTCTCGTTTGTATTTTTCATAAGTTGTTACCTCCCTTTCTCCTGATTTACTGATTTACTGATTTACTCTTTTTTGGCCTTTCTCTCTTTTTCACCTGCAGGTAAATAACAATAAAACCAACATCAACCCGGACAAACTGGTATATATATACAATATGTTAGCGTTGGCGTTGGTCTTTTCTTAGGTTATATGTATATATATATAAAAGTAAGTATAAGAGATGAAAGGTAGACTTTCCGCTGGTCGCAAACTTATGTTGTTATATATATATTCCAGTGTATGTGTTAGTGGGGATATCTGGAGCTTCGAGTCAAGTCAACTGAATCTCATACCCCATACGTTCAATGTACTGTTACATTGAAGGTTCTGTGCGTACGATATAATATTATAATATTATAATATTAAGTGTTTGTTTTTTATTGTTGTTTGGTGTTTTTATAAATAAAATTTGACAAACCAAATTTGGTTTTTATCGAAATGTTAATGTTAATATATTCTGTAAGTTTATAATTTTTATTTAATATATCCATTTTTTTTTTTTTTTTTTTTTAAGTAGCGTATATGATACTTTTTGTGTAATTGTAAAACTTTAAATAATATTTACATTATAGAAGGAATAAAAATTATATTAATAAAATAACATGAGAATGGCTAAAAGAATAAGTAAGTGAGCTTTTTATATGCGTTTAGATATATTAATAATGTGATATGAATATGAAGAAAAAAAAATTATTACCACAGCTGTAAAATGTATTATTAAATTTTGACATTATTATATAGAATTTATATATGTTATATATAGATGTATGAAAATAAAATAGTAGATTTCGGTGGTGGTAAGCTCAGTTAAGTTGCCGGGAAAATGTAGATATGTATAACATCAAGGAATGCCAGGCAAAGGGAAACAAGAACAGTACAGAATAGAATACAGTATAGGGTATAACAGTACAAGGCAAGCTAACCTAACTTAAGATATATATATATATATATATATATTTAAGTTAAGGGTGCAATGGTATTGGTATGTATGTTTGTATGTCTGGATATCTTTAGGACCTGTATTTGTATCTGTAGATCGACTAGACTAGACCCTGCATAAAGCTAAAGGCGACGACGGGATTATGTCTTTAAAGTCGGTGAAGCTATGCAAATCATGATGTGCTCCATCAAATTCACAGGGAATCTCATTTCCCTTGTTGGTCGCTGCTACAGAAATCCACAATCTTCTTTATTTTTCTTTTTCTTTTTCTTTCTTTTCTTCCTTTCTCTTCATACTTATTATATTATTTAACTTTCTCACTCTTTAACTCTTTATACTCTAAACTGCTTTTACATTTCTTTGAGATGAACAATAATAAGAACAAGAATAAAGAAATGAGTATGAATAAATAAAATAACGGGAGTTGAGCGGCTGAAGGTAAATCTCAACAAATCTATATTATTATTAGTAATTTTATATCTCATTCTTTATTAGCTTTAAAATGCTCACTAAAACAATCGCATTCCTATACTGCAGCTTTTTGTTTCATCTTTTCACTTTTTCCCGTTTTCCCTTTTTTCTTTGTCAATTTAATGCTCTTTTACTTAATTAAATATTTTACACATTATCATAATGAAAAAAAACAAAAATATGTACATATATAAGTTGCAAACATTTATATCAATCAAATAAACCATAAAAATAGTATTATACACTTGAAATATTTATTTAATTAATATTGTTATATTTATAATTACAGACTGTTATTATTTCATCGAGTTTTATGCCATGTTTTATCACTTCATTACCAGCTGAATACAATAAGGAGTCAAATAATTATAATAATATTAACAACAACAATACGGTGAGTTATTGCGACTATTATCATCGTCACAACAATTGATTATAAAATATAAATATAAAAAAAAATAAAAATGAAAAAACGTTTACTAATAACTAATAACATACAAGTATAAAATGTCAATCAGAGATTAAAAACAAAAAAAAAAAATCTAATCTACTTTGAGTGCGTACCAAAGTGTGTAAACTAGAGTAATACTATATTTATTATTGTTATAGATGTGTATATATGTAATATGTAGATTGTAAATGTATTGAATGAAGAGGCTGTAGTGAATAAAATGTGACAAGAGACCAATAGTACGGGTTACACTCTTACATTCACTTAGTGAATGTTGGTGATGGTGAAATGCGAAATGCGAATCATTTACTGTCTCCCTTCTTTACACGGTATTCTTGTTCACTTGTTTGCTCGCATCAACTGATAAAGGCTGATTCAATTTACACACGAATCAGAATTGAGTAAATCTTTATGTTTATGTCGTCCAACATTATCTGTCGATTTAATACAAATACATAGGTATATGTACAACTTGTTATATATTATATATTGCAGAATTTTATACGTACCTATATATACTAAAACACTTTAACACACAAACCAACCATACTTGTCTAATAATACCTTTTTTTATACATTAAATGTGTATATGTTAAAAACATATAATTTATTATTATATAAATAAATAAACAAATAATAAAAAAGTGTTATTGAGTTGTGATTAGAATCTCGGGATCAGCCACTACTACTATACCATTACACTACATTCCTTTTTCTCCGTGATTTATATTATGATTATTATTATTATTATTATTATTATTATTATTATATACTGGTGCTAATAGTTTAACAGATATTATATCAACACAAGTAGATCTGGGTTAATAGATTTCTCTGCCCGAAGGTCGAGGGTATCGATACCTGATCTTAAATCATTACACATATTAAATCTTTTTTTTTTTTTTTGTTGTTTACCGAAGGAAAAAAAAAATAAATTTCGTTATTGATATCAGTTTTAAAATTTATTAAAATAGTATTTGTTTAAATTTGAGTTTAAATTAATATTAAATTTCTGTCAGCAAACTTGTTTAGTTAACATAAATAAGTCTTGTGGTCTCGATAAAATAGTCTTTAGAATTGTATTTGGTTAACCGCAAATTTTCAATTAAAACCATTTGGCACTCTAAAAACCGGAGCAGTCATTTAATACTTTGAACAATATAAAATTTAATATTTTAAACTAATTAAATATATTTAATATAATGTAAAATAGTAAAAATTCGTATTTATATATTGAAAGTTAAAAAAAAAAAAAAAAAAATAATATATATAGGTATATATTTATTTTATCTTTCACCCCCAGCGAGAGAATATAATTACATGCTTCAGTAAAATTTAATCAACGTTTCTTACAACAACTTTTATACTTTTATTTTAATTAATGTTATTTCCTATATTAAATAATCTTAAATATTCCAACAGTGCTGAAAATTAAATTCTACATTCTTTTCATTAAAATTCTAATTTGTTTATTTTTTATGTTTGAATTCATTTACTTTTTAAAATAATAAAAAATGCATCATTATTTCACTTAGGTCTATAAACATTGACTTAAGATTTTAATTTTTATATAAAATTACGACTTTTAAAAAAAAGAAAAAAAAAAAAGTAATAGTAATAAAATATTTTATATATTTTTTTTATAACTTTCGGACAACAATTTACTTACGAACGTAAAAGCTATTAAGATAAGTTGAAAGTTGTCCTACTTTTTCATTTTCGTGACACTACATTTGTTGCATTCTTTCGTAATATTTGTTTATTTATTCATACTTTTTATAAAATTCACCAACTATTTGAAAAATTTTAAATAACTTAATAAAACTGATGAAAAACAATAAAATCTTGAATTTTTAAGATTTGTATGGGTAATAAAAAAAAAATTAAAAGTTTATTTTTTTTATATAAAAAATAAATTTAAACAAACAACTCAATGTTGTATTGATAATATTGGATTATAATAAAAAATGCAAAGCTATTGAAGGAGAGTCAACTTTCTCAAACTCCACTCGTCTTCTCCATTTCTTTAAAGAACAAGTAATCGTTAGTCGTTAACTTTCGTAATAGCAAACTTTACTCATTGCTCTCCTTTCCATTAAAGAAAAAAAAAAATATAAAAACATCAAACGATAAATAATAAAAATACTTGTTTTATAAGTAAATAAATTTATCATAAAATTCATCCTATTTTATAATAAAATATACTATACGGTAAATTCCTAGATACATTTTACTATTGACGCTAACAAATTCTATGCGGTTATCAATAATTCGATAATTCTCAAGTATACCAACATGTTTGTTTATTTTTATATTTTATTTTTCATGGTTAATTAAAAAGTGGTTCATTATTCAATTGTGTACTGACACCACTGTAACTTGAAATTTAAAATTTGATTAATTAATTAATTAATAGTTTATTTTTATATCTATTTTCAGAACAAAGACGGAATTTTAATTGAATCCCAGGAACACTTGATAGATAAAAAAATTTTATCAGTTGACAATAATTGGCACAACAACAATAATAACACATACGGGATAAATTTAGATGATGATGATAATAATAATAATAATAACAATAATCCAATACGATATCAACATCAGTGGTTAAATTACGAGGGTAATCAATATCAAACAGAAGCAGCAGCAGCAGCAGTCAATTTCCCATTAGCAGTGCACAAACAAGGAAATCTAAAGACGTCAACTGATTATTCAACGAATTCAAATTATCAAGATAATGTACATGTTACTGACATAATAACCCCTTCTATTCCAGTAGATGAAGCTTTATTATTATTTGAAAATTTTGGAGATAAAATAATAAAAACTGATGATGATTTAAATTATTATGAAAATGACACTGGAACGGTAGAATCACAAAATTATTATTTTTCAACGGAATTACCGATTGAAAATAATAAAGATAAAACGATACGAGTATCATCTGAAAATTATAAAAATGCTTTAGCTAATTTTAAAAGTCAATTAATTAAAAATTCACGAGTGTCTTTAAATAATAAAACACATGTTACGACATTAACAGCAACATCAGCAGCTAATAAAAATAAATTATTACCGGAATTATCACGTTTAACCTTTCAAAATTTCAATGATTCATTAACAGATATTATTTCGGAAAATGAACAAACAAAAGTTATCGCAAATCAAAAAGTTTTAACAAAATTTAATACCGAAGAACCTATTGTTGTTTCTGAAACAGGAATAATGATACATAAAAATTATGATTACGGTACAGCAACGCTTCCATGCAATATTGAAAATGAAAATACAGAGGTGGTTGAATCACAACTGCTATCATCAACAACAATACCACCACCTTCCGAAGAAGAAGAAAAAGAAAAACAACTAACAAAAAGTTCAACAGATGAAGGTACAACGGATTACAATACTCCTGTCCATTCTATTCATTCTGTTGATTCTGTTAATTCTCCGTTGTTTATCCGAGAACTTTCCAATAGAGATCAGGATACCACATCACCCGTAGTATTAAATTCAATCCAAGCTGGGTTGGCTTTAGTTAACGCTGACAAGACTCATTTTATTGAAAATAAAGTTGAACCTCTAAATCAGTTTAAATTAAATGGTTATTCTGACAATTACCCATTTGAAAATATCAACACCAGCAACAAAAATAGTAAAAATGTTAAATCGATTAAATCACCAGCAGAAAAAAATGTCACATTAGCGTCAATCAACCACGATAACGATAACGATAACGATAACGATAACTACAACTACAACGACAACGGTAAACTTGTAGAAATTCAAAAGTCAGTGGAACTGTATAATAGTGCACCGATCCATGAAATTCATTATCCACCTGCACTATCGATCAATCACCCAGCTTCACCAATTTCATCAGTTTCATCAGTTTCATTAGTTTCATCAGCTTCATCAGCTTCATCAGCTTCATCAGCTTCATCAGCTTCATCAGATTTTGTTTATATTACTTCACACCAAGATAATAATCATCAAAAAAATCAAATGTCATATACAAATACTGATATCAGTGACAGTAATACCGATTTTAGCCTTAAATTTTTATCTATTATCAATCAAACCACCCCTTCCTTTTCAACATCAGAACAACAACAACAACAACAACAACAACAACAACAACAACAGCCAGTTAATTTAAATAACAACATTGTGTTTGACATTGAAAAACAAAAAATAATTGAAATTAATAAAAATAATAATAATTTTACGAATAAAAATAATATTGGAGGTGAAATTTATGAGACTGAAGATCAAATGTCATCTTCATCTGAATTTTTAGAATATAAAAATAAACAAGCAGTAGAAGATAATAATGGAAAAAATTTATTAGTTGATAGAGAATCAGATAACGTATCAAGATACATTAATAGTAATAACAGCTCTATCAAAAGTCACATGGATTATAATAATAATAATAATAACAATCTAAATAATTTTAAACAAGAGGGATACTCTAATTTAATAGAAAAGGATAAAATAGCCGATGCGACAGATAATTCCGAACAAACTGTTTACATTTACTCGCCACCTGTAGTAAGTGGTGGTTACGGATCTATAGATATATCAAATTACAATATAAATTTGCCAATAAATAGTGAAATTGTTGAACAATCAAACTATCCAGTTGACAAATTAGTTGATGGTGTACTCGATATCACCACCGGTGCCCGATATTCTCAGCCTTATTTTGTTAACAAAGATAATAATAATAATAATAGAGTTGTTGAAAAGTACCAGTACCAGTACCAAAAGCTAAAGCTAAAGCCGAAACCGAAGCCGAAGCAAAAGCACGTGCCAGTTATACAGACTTATCCAGTTACAGCTGAGAAGATGTCCAAGAATAAGGTACCGTCACCTCACCAACCAACTAAAACTATTACTAGTACCAGTAACACTGGAACATATATTCAAAAATTTGTATCTCAACCCTATCCTATTCACATACTTGAACAGTTGCCGTATCAAGTAGATAAGGTCATTGAAATGCCAATCCGAATTCCAAGTAACCATCCACTTGGAGAAATTCCACCAAGATTATCATCATCATCATCACTGTTATCATCAATAAAATTTGATAAATTAAGTAACAATAATAATCCAAATTATTATCACCAAATAATTAATCCATCTATTCAGTCCAATGGACTTTTGTACCCAACAAGACTACAACAAACAAAATCTGAAAAATCTGAAAACTCTGAACAAGGTGAAAGTTTTACCAACAGTTCAACACTAAACTTAAAAGGTTACACAATTGGTAAGCAAGCAGTTATGCCACTGGTGGTGGCTATGCGGTCTCCTTTGAGCAAACGATACAGTTTGTTAAGTCAAATTGGGCTTGTCAAACATCAACAACATCAAAAAAATCAACAACAACAACAACAACAACAACAACAACAACAACATATTTTTAATTATTATCCATCTAGTAATTTTAAAAAACAATTATATAATAATAATAATAATAATAATAATAATAATAATAATAATAACAACAACGATTTATTGAACCAATTACCAATTTCAATGCATCATCCAAAGTCTGTTGTCGATCAAACGAGTTTTCAATGGCACGTGATTCATCCCAATGAAAAACAAAAAATAACAAAGATTGAGTACGTGGGGTCGGTACCATCGCTAACGCGGCATCATGTCTTGAATCTTCATCAGAATCAAGTACCGCATCCGGCTCATCAGGAATCACTCCACTACTTGGGCGCTACTGATACATCTTCTTCTTCTTCTTCTTCAACATTACCAGCTGGTTCTTTTTTTGAAAGACTAAGACTGCCGGAAATCCATTACTACGGTAAAATCGGCAACTTCAGACAGTCAAAAATGGAATATGGATTCAAACCACCAATGGTACCGTCTATTCAATACGACGAAGAAACTGCTACTAAAGTCGATAATCACTGAAATTTAATATTTACCCCTCATATACATACTATTATTTATTATTTTTGTTAAATTAATAAGATTATTTTATTTTAAATTATTATTTTTATACTCTGTTTCTCTATACCTATGTTGTTTTATTTGTTGACCAGTATTTTTATTTTTAGTCAATAAATGTTTATTTAATAACATAATTGTTCTAATTGCTGATTAATAAATATATGTTATCTAAATCTTTTGATAAAATAATTTAAGTAAAATTAAACTATTTATTTAATTTTATTCTGACATGAGAAAAAAAAAAATAATTAGCTAGTAATGTAACTTTTTAAATCACTTGCATCCAGATAAATTAAAAGTATAGCTAATCCTTTCCGTCGAGTTTTAAAATGTACCGGTACCACTAAAGAAGATTACAATTCTAGTCAGGATAAATTTTTTTTCTTCATCTTTCGAAGCTACGAAAACGATAAAATAAATAAAATAAATAAAATAAATAAAATAGATAAAATGGACCAACTCTTGGATATTTATGTGATTTTAATAAGTATGAAAAAAATAAATAATACGAGAAAAAAATTATTAATAATTATAATTAAATAAATTATGGTTATAAATTGAATAAATAGTCTTGTAAATAATTATATTATAGCTTATTTTTATTAAGTTAACTTTCAGTCTGGGGCGTTAAAATACAACCGACTGTCAATTATTATAAAATCGATAAAATGTAAGCGGAAAAAAGTAAACCTCCTCAATAATTTAAATCTGTTGAAAAGTAATTACTTTTCAAACGTCGTTTCAATCTCGATAATGTGCTTACTCGAGCAACCTCTCCTCTAATTTCTTTACTTTATTTGTTTTTTATTAATTTACCATCACCCATCATGCCTCGACTATCCAAATTACATTTCATTTATATTTTTTAAATAAAAATTTTATAAAGTTAATGTGTTATTTTTTTCATTTTCAGTCGAGTATGCTAAATAAAAATAAAAAAATATTAACACAAATTATTTTAAGTCATTAATTTTAATAACTCAATACCAGAAATTTTAATTAATATTTTTTTATAATATAAATTACTTCAATGATCCATATTGATATATGTATTATTTAATAAAGTTTATTTATTAAAAGTTAAGCAGTCAATAAATAAATAAATAAAATAGTTTTATTGTTAAAAAATAATAAAAATTAATTTAAATTTATTTGGTGGTAATTTATGAGTTGTCTGACATGACAAATGTTCTTACTACTGAGACTACTGCACCTCCAACTCAGAGCCCTAACTTACCGGTTGTTATACATATAAACGTATAGTTATATTTAACTATTTTAAAAAAGTTTTCACCGGAAAATTGTTTAAATCCACCAGTATTTTAATTAAAAAAGAATATTTAACAATTGTAGATGATGTTGTTGTTGTTATTGCTGTTAAATTTTTCTTACGCTGTGAACAGAGCTCGGTCTATCGTTTAATTTATTAATTATTCACTCATTCAAGTTGTTTCCTCGTTTTGTGTAAATTTTAAACTCAATTAGCAACAAAAGTTCTGAACCCCAGTTATTTATTAATTTATACATAAATTGTTATATAAATCATATATTTTATTAATTTCCAAAATATTAAAATTTTTTAACAATAAACTACTAATCTCAATAATTAAATAATAAATAATAAATATTTAATAAAGGAAAATAATATCCAAGAAATTAAAGGTACAAAAGTACATTAAATATCTCAGTAATAACTCGAGTAATATTATTTAAGGTTTCTCTCTCTTGTTGGTTTTTTACACCCACAAATAAGCCACACATGTGGTGTGGTATTTATTGTATAAGTAGATTCGCTCTACCTCATTTTATATGTGTGTACTTATGATTAGTCTGGAATTTCACAAATAAGGAAATGAGTTCTGTAATTACGATAAAAACTTATAGCTTCATTTATTTTATGATTATAACATATGAATCTTGATTATAACTTGTAAAAGTAATACTTACAAAGTTAATATTATAAATATACTGACACAAATTGTAAATATAAATAAATAAAATAAAAAAAATTAGTAGATCTTACTTTTTCACCCTTCTGCGTCGCTGCAAATTTTTTTATCGTGGGCAAGCTTGCGTGTCCGAGCGTTTACGTCTCGGTGAATTAAGTCCAGCAAGTCCAACATACGCGCGCTGACCTCACAAAAACATGAAAGATAAAAAAATAAATAAATGAATGAAACATTAGAGCCATCAAGTGAGTTAATATATAATGATCATTAGGAATATTATTAATTTGTCATAAGACATGTGTTAATATGTACATTGTTATTGAGTACTTTGTTATTTTTGTTTTTTTTTTTTCTTTACATTTTTGATGGTATAATTAAGTAATTTTTTTGTACAGTAAAAGAGTAAAATATTCATGATGGCAAATGAAGCGGAGTGCGAAAAACAATGTCTAAAAACTTACATTGTATTATTTACATATATATAAAATGAATTTTAACAGATGCATTTGTATTCATTTCGTTTATAAATTAGCAATGCAAATAAAATAAATATTTAAAGATATGCATATCTCATAAATTAATATATAACACAAATTTATATTTCATCAAGTACACATCGTCATACATACAGTTTAAAACTTTAACTCTTTTTAAATTTAAATGAACAAAGTTTTATTGGAGAATAAAACTAAATTTAGATTCAACCAAGAGCTGAAATAAAAACAATTTTATTTATATTTTATTTTTACATTTACCAAATATACCTATATATTTTTTTTAGCTGTCAATCGAAACGTCAATTTAGTTTCGATGTATACGCATACCACATTAAAGTTAACATAAAATATAATACCGATTCAGACAAATTAAATAAACTAACAACACGCAGTTTATCAAATAATAATAATAATAATAATAATAATAATAATAATAATAATAATAATTATGATGATAAAAATTTGTAATTCACCAAGTGCAAAGATTACTCAGCAATTTCATAAAATAATAATTCATCCGTGAATTTCTCTGATTTAGCTTATTATACCAACGTCCATTTTACCATAAACCGTGTCTTATTTAATTTTTTTACATCAATAATTATTATTATTATTATTATTATTATATAATTATTATTATTTCGTCAAACGCAATGTCGAAATATATGTTAATTTTAATTAATGGACAGTGACACTATTATTGACAAAATAATTGATGTGGATCCATAATCCATGATCTGTGATCCACCAATTTAATAAAATAGAGGAATTTACAAACGATGATCAGTAGTGACTATACCTTGGAAATAGTTTTACTGTAATAAAACACTCTAACTAAACTGTCTAATCAATTGCATCACTAACGAACGCTTTTTTTTTTTTTTTTTTTGTACATGAGAACGCATTTTGAATACGCAAATGATTTATAAAAGTTTATATGAAGAGCGAGAAAGAGAGAAAGAAAATAATTATTCGTTTATAATATTGTAACAAAGAAAAAAAATAAAAAAAAAACTAGAAAGATAATTATAATTAGGAGACGAGTTAACTAAATAATTTAATTTAATTATATTATCGATTTAACCAACAGAAATATATATAGGTATTCGTACTCGTTAATTAAAATGACCAAGAGAGAAAACTTTGACTGATTCTGATTAAAATCTCAAAGTACGGTTGAAATAATAAAAATAATAAAAATTCAAAAAGTTGAGTAAAAGAGTAGTATTTTTATTTTATTTTTTCTAAGGATTATTGGGCCACGAGTGTGCGCATTAATGTTGCTTTAAAACCCTTACCTCGGTAACTCGAGAAAGGCCAAGAGAGAAAATAGATTTTTTACACAAAACGACCCGTGGGAAATATGCATTGAAAAGTATAAAGCGAAAAAGACGTTACCGTACTGTGTGTCATCCACCTCACTTTTAATATTTTTGTACAGCCTCTTTACGATGATCTAGGCCAAAATAAAAAATAAAAAATAAAAAAAAAAATTAAAAAGTTTTCTTAAGTTGAATGATAATAATAATAATAATAATTATTATTATTATTATTATTATTATAACAAGTAGAATGTCACCTATAGAATATGCCTAACAAGTATAGGGTATGCATAAGGTTTAAAGTGGACCTGGTGAGGTCAAGTATCATTATATTCATCATTTGCATCATCAATACTTTTATTTTCTCAAATAAATCTACTAGTTTCACACACAACAGACTCATGACAAGAATATAGAGAATATAGAGAATATAGAAAATAAAGGTAAAGAGCCCTTGGCCTTTCTCAACAAATACTCAACCTGATCATCAAGTATACCAACTATGTATGACGTACAACAACAACAACAACAACAACAACGTACTTAAAGGATAGAATAGTACCAGAGTAATAGATAGAAATATTTATTAATGTTATGGGTAGATTTAACCAAATCTGATGAACAACTTTAGATCAAGGGCTAAAGAGATTGGGTGGCTACGGAAATTGAATAACTTTAACCACTTAAAACTATTATATGTGAAAATACTCATTTAATCAATATATAAAAGTATTTCATTATTTTATGTTAAAACGTCACTCAAATTTAATTTATATTCAAATCAATAAAGGTATGTACAACGAGTAATAATTAGTCACTACACTATATTATACTGTGACAGAAAAGATAAAATATCGGTGATAGCTTTTTATAAGTTAATAGTAATAGCAGAAAGCTCCTTGATCAACCGCACCAAGCAAACCCCGAAGCTTATTTTTTCTTTTTACTCTTAAAACAAGAAATATAATTTATTCTATTGAATGTAACAGACATTGTTGTTATTTTTTTTTTTTTTTTTTTCTAAATTTTAAACCTTTTCTATTATTATTACTGTGTTTTTTTTTTAGAATATTTTGCCATCATTCACTGAGATATTTACTGAATAAAAATAATAATAAATAGTAAAGAAATGTATGGATATAAAATATAGTAGTGTGTATTTTATTTTTATTTTCTGTCAAGTATTTTATATT